GTGTGTGTATGTGTGTGTGTGTGTGTATGGGAATATATATATGTATGTATATATGTGTATATACATACACATATAATGTATATATGTATATATACATACATATATATACTCATTCTGTGAGTTCTGTTCCTCTAGAGAACCCTTACTAATGCAGTTACTTTTCTGATGCTGTGATAAAATATCCAACAAAAGCAACTTAGGAGAAGGAAGGTTTATTTTGGCTCACAGTTCCAGGATGCTGTTCCTCATGGTGGGGAAGGCGTGGCAAACAGAGCTCAAAGCAGCCGTACATCATCACCAGTCTTGAATCTGATATGGGTGAATGTGCAATGCAGCTGACCTCCTCTTTCTTCTCCATTTGTTCTGTTCAGGACCACAGTGGGTAGGTCTTCTCACATTAAATAACTTAATCACCACAATCCTCCATAGGCATGTCCAGAGGCTCATCTCCCCAGTGATTCTCCATGCTGTCACACAGACAACAATAACTATCACAGCTGGATTAGCCTTCTCAGTAACTCAAGTCCAGCTCCCGATCTTTCCCATCTCTATGTGAATCAAGGTGATCTCTAACTACTACCCTTCATTGCTTCCATTTCTACTTAAGCAAAGGCTACCTTGTTGGAAGAGGAGCACATAAGCCAGAGACTGAGACAATCAGATCAATGTCAGTCTCATTAAAGAATTACTGGGTCATCAAGAGCAGAAAACACAATCAAACAGAGAAGAATGTAGGCAGAATATTTTGTCCCACCACTCAGCTCTGTCCCACCAGCCGGCTCCCAAATAACCACATAGAGACTTATTTTTAATTGTAAATGATCAGCCAATAGCTTGGGCTTAGTAATAAGCTCTTACAATTTAAATTAACCTGTATTTCTTATCTATGTTCTACCACGTGGTGGTACCTTTCTTCAGCACAGTATGTTCATCTTGCTTCTCCCTGTGTGACTCTGGTGACTCTGCCCTTCTTCTTCCCAGCATTCTCTCATTCTGGCTCTCCTGCCCAACCTCTTCCTGCCTAGCTATTGGCCAGTTGGCGATTTATTAAACTAATGAGAGAAACACATCTTCACAGTGTACAAAAGGATTATTCCATAGCAGAAGAAAGAACACATGACAGATATAAATGTACAAGGGATCCAAATAATGTGGTTATTAGCTATGAACTTAAAATACATATGACTAACATGCCCGAGTCATTAAAAGATAACTCTGAGAATATTGGCAGAGATTCAGGAAGCATAAAATAATCAAAATCTGGGGGGAAACACAAGTAAGACTTCAATGAATGGACTGAACACCAAATTAGGAACAGCTTCAAAAACTGTATAAGCTGGATGTAGATCAGGGGGAAATGTTTAGACTGAAGCATGAAGAGACGGCCAGAGACACAGAGTGGAGAAGAAAAAAGGGGGAAGAAGCAGAGAGAAACTAGGTAGAAGAAGAAACATTTTCAAAGAGAATGAGCTTCTGCATGCTGGTGATGGACATGAGACTTCAAGTTCAAGCTGCCTAAGACATCCTGTGCAGGCTAATGCGTCTTTCAACAGGTTCCACTGGTACAAAATTCACCTCACCAGTGGCAGCTGGTGGCTCTCTGTGGAGGGCTGCCTTGCCCATCTTTAGAGAAGCCAGTGAGGGTTGTGTGGAATGTGTTTCAAATGTCTAATTGTGCTTGTGAGTCCCGAACTTTTCTCTCATCACCTGGGTCACAACGACTATCTCCTGTCCATGGTGGCTGCCGGTACAGAGGCTTTGTATTCACCGACAGTTTCTTTTAGGTTTCAATTACTTTAAGCAATTACACATAAAGATTCACACACACAGACTTTGTACATTTCATTATTAAAATATTCCCGGGTAAACAACGAATATACTTGAATCTGCTAATTCAGAGCGAGCGCAGCAAACTTTTCTATAAAATGATAGAGTAAATATTTGAGCTTCCTAGGGCACTTACAATCTCTCTTGTACCTATAAAGCAACACCATCACAGCACAAAGTAACCTCAGACAGTCCATAAGCTATAAGCATGGCTGTGTCCCAAGCTTTATTACAGCCAGTATTACAGATGGGCCATAGTTTACCTGCCCTTAATTTAACTGAATAGCAACTTCCCACTCTATAGAATTGGTTATTATTTTTTTTTTTTAGATCTTCACTGTAATGGTTAATTTTTCTTGTGGATTGGATACATGCAGGATCACCCAGGGGAGGAATCTCAATGAGAAATTGTCTAGATTGGCCTGTGAACAGATCTGTGAGTGACTGTTCTTAGTTGGGTTAGCTGAAGTTGGAAGACCCGCTGTGAATATGAATAGCATCGTTTCCTAGGCTGGGCTTGAAGGGGAAGAGACCTAGCTGAGCACAGGCAGGCAGGCAGCAGTCCACTGCTCTCTGCTCTTGACTGGGGAATATAATGTGACCAGGTGTTTCAAGTTCCTGCCACCTTGTTCTCCCTGAAATGATGGACTGTCGCCTGGAATTGTGAGCCCTTCCTTTCTTAGTCTGCTTTTGCACATTTCATCAAAGCTTAGATTTTTTAAAGCTGAATAATACTATCTGTTAGCTTGGTTCCTATGTAATGTGACCAACTCTCCTGGAGATCTCACTGTCAATAAATATTTGGAGCGCATGATTTTTCCAATTTTCCAGTTTAAAAAAGGGTATATGAAGGTTCCATTATTTTCTTCTCCTCCAAGCCAGTCATTATTTATTGTCTGGATGGCTAGTCTTCCATGCCAACCACAGTCCTTCAGAGCAGCAGTCCCCTGCTGTTAACAGACAATCCCTAACTTACATTGTCACAAGGGCAGAGTCTACTCAGCAGAAACTGTACATCAAAAGCCTACATCACTGTACTGTATTGGTTTCCTCTCCTGTTGCTGTGATAAAATACTTGACCAAGCAACCACACTGCACCCATCAGCAAGCAGAGAGGAAGGAAGGCTCACATGCTAGTGCTCAGTTCATTTGCTCCATTTTATACAACCCAGGATCCCCTGTCCAGGGAATGGTCTCGCTCATAATTAAAACAGTTCTTCTAGCATCAGTGAATATAATCAAGATACGCCCTCACAACACACACACACACACCATACACACACACACACACACACACACACACACACACACACACACACACACACCACACACACACACACACACACACACACACACCACACACACACACACACACACACACACACACACACACACACACACACACACACACACGTAGGCATGGCCAGAGACCCATCTCCTAGGTCATGTTAGATTCTGCCAAGCTAACAACACCAACTATTGAAACAACCATTCTGGGTTTCATCTCAACACACATGTCTCATGAGATATTCGACATTCTATCCTAAAACATGTTTTATGCTCTGTAAGTTTTGCCAACTCCAGGCTAGTGTAAGAGTTCTGCATAAGCTGAGGTAGGCTGGGTTAAGTGATGGTATTTGTAGGCTGGATGTATTTTCAACAGCATAGTTTCAGTTTATAATGGATTCATCAGGACATAATCCCATCACAAGTCAAAGAGCGTTTGTAGTGTTTGCATTGGAGAATTCAAAAACACTTGACTGAAGTGATAGGCCAAAGCCCTCTCCCTACCTGGACTATTAAAGAATATCTAGTTCTGTGGAATTCTTTTTCACTTTTTAAGGAATTTTAACCACCCCCTCTTCTCTCCCTCACATCCCCTCTCTGAGTCCACCTCTCCCATTTTCTTTCCTGACCCTTCCTAGACCCTTCCTGCTTCAATGCGAAGGGTTTTGAAGGTTAGGGAATGGGAAGAATAAGATGTACCTGGTATCCCTGGGGGTGTCAGAGAACCATGTTTGAAAATTATGGCAGTGAGAGCAGCGTGATGGTGGGCAGAGGGCCACAGGAGCTGAGTGGGATGGAGGAAGACAGAGTACGTGAGAGTGGGATGTAAATCTCTCACTGCTAAAGGACAGGTATAAACAAAAGGAGAGGCTCAAACCCTTCATTACAGACTGGAGAAGAGCTGGTGAATGGCTCAGCAGGTAAAGGCACTCACTGTGCAAGCCTGATGACTGAGTTCAATTCCCGGATCTCACAGTGGAGAGAGAACAGACTCCAGAAAACTGTCCTCTGATCTCTGATTTCCACTTGTTCTCTGTGGCATTAAACACACACATACACACACACACACACACACACACACACACACACACACACACACACACACACACTAGTGATAATAATAAACAAGTCTAAAATAAACAAAAAATAACGAGCTTGAGCTTTTTTATTTGTATGTTTTTAAAATAGGTAGGCAGATGGATCTAAAGATAATAGACATTCAGCCAAACTGACAGACAGATGGATGCAAATGCACGAGCATGTGTGTATGCATATGTACACACCTGTGCAGGGCAAAGGCAGACAGCTGCAATACCTCAGTAGCAGCCCACATCTAGTGCCTTTTCTAATACTTTCCTCCATTGAAGCAAATTGGAGACTGGGGTGGGAAATGCTGGAAACAAGCCTGGAATATCTATGGTGCCAGATAGTAAGGAAGTGCTCAGAGAACAGAGGGCACGTGATCACTGATCGGCCTGTGATGGGAGCTACTGGCACAGGCTCAAGTGGACAAAACTGGGGGCAAAGGGACAAATTATAACGGTGGTGATAACAAAGAGCGTGTTAAAGCCCCTTGAGGACCCCCGAGTCCACACTTACATCATGGTGTGAATAAGAAGCAATCACAGAAAGGGGGAGTTTTCGGCTCATAGAATAACAAACACAGGTAGACAAAGGCATGAAAACAAGCAGGAAGTAGGGGAAGGCTTGATTATTGAATAAATAATGGGAAGTTCAGCAGCAGCAATAAGGCAGACACATCTGGGCAAGCCAAACTGTATCTACTAGACAAATGCAGGGCAATGTGACCATCAGCAAAGCCAGTATTGGTCATGGATTCAATCAAACACACCAACTGTGGTGCAAGCTATGATTTATTTACTCACTTCAAGCTTCGCTGGTATCTTTGTGGAGCTTGTGAGAACCCACCTCACTCACTCTGTTGGGAGTTGGCACATAATGGAGAAGAGTGGAGAGCTTTGTAGAGCCCTAGCATCTGGGGCTGAGGACATAGCTCAGTCCGCTTGTCTAGCCCACATCGGGTCTTGGGTTTGATCTTCAGCACTGCATAAAAACTGGCCATCGTGGTGTATGCTTGTCATTCTAGCACTCAGAAAATGGAGGCAGGATGAGCAGAAGCTCAAAGTCATCCTCAGCTTCACAGACAATTCAAGGCCGGCCTGGACTGAGACTTTGTCTTAAAAAGAAAGAAACAAACAAGAAAGCTAGCATCTGGCATCAGTTAATACAGGGCCACCACACACAGTGTCAATGAGGCCCCAGCCAAGGGAAGGTAAGCAGAGGCAGAAGCAGCCTTCATCCCCCTTGCCAAGCAGTTTGCGTTGGTGGGCGATGGCATCATCAGGAGGAAAGAATGTGGCTTTCTAAAGGCCACACTGAGAGCAGCAGGCCGTCCATTCGATGCTTGTGATGAAACAGCCTTTACGATGACACGGTGGTGTGCGGTGGCCCTAGGCAAGAGTGGCATTTGAAAACTAGTCTTCCTGAGGACAACTTCTCCGATGTGGCGAGCTATATGGTAAGGCTGTCAGAATGACAGAGGCACCAGCAGAGAAGCTGGTGACAGCACGAGAGAGAATCCATGAGCTGGTCCCCCCTCCAAGTACAATGACATGGCAGCAAAACACAAGGACCCTGTCCTAGGCGGTCACAGCCACTAGGAGGTGCATTAGCCTCACCACGGCCTCATTCACCGTAATGAGGGAGTGGAAAGCCCTGTTTCCAGGAAGCGCTTTCAATGTGGCTCAGGGTCCGCCTTGGAATTGTACTCAAGTTTGTGTCCCAGAGGTGGGAATGGACCGAGATGCAATAACCACACACTATCCTGCTCCCAGGGACTCACAAATTCTCTACCCTCTCAGGATGTTGACTAACATCCTGCAGTGGACACTCAGGGGTTCTAGCCATGGGATCCTGGGGAGTTAGATGCTAAGTGAATGAATGCTTAAGAGGCAAATATACCTTTGCCTCTAGATGCATTTCAAAAGGGTGATTTATTCTTTTTCAAGAACTTGTAACACAGAACGACTAAAAACATACTTAGGTTGCTAAGATGTGCCGGGCAGAGGGTCAGTTGATTGGAAGGCAGCCTTGTCACTCACAGTACCAGTCCTGAAGCCCTGACTTCTTCACTCAAGCCCAGATGCATGGCCTCCCACACTTTCCCACGCTGTTGGCATACAGACTTAGAAGCTGTTCTCAGACTCACTGCATGGGGAGTCTGACTTCTCGACTTCCTCCCTGGTGACTTCCCAACTTGGCTTCTGTAGGAAGAAGATCTGCTTTTCTCCCAGAGGAGGCCAAATGTCATGACAGGAAAAAAAAAAAAAAAGCTGCTAGCAACAAGGGGCCCCAGTGCAAGAGCAAGGAGTAGGTTGGACCCAAGACCCTGACCAGATCCTTCTACTGGAATGGAGAAGGGAAAAAACAAAGGGTTTGCTAAAGCTGATTCACTCACTCAAGAGACTTCTCATTCCAGTAGCTCTGCATGCCTTCCTTGGTTCCGTCCCCACCCCTATACACCCCCTCACTGCTAGTTCTGAAAGTCAGTGAGTGATAGGTTAGCATGGTGTTCATCCCATGGTGTCACCTAGCAACGTGCTGTTCATAAATAGCCACAATCATCTCTTCTCCAAAAATGGCTAAAACTCCTCTTAAAGGCATCAGGAAAAATGCTTAGCTCTTTGGAGCTGGTGTGAAATATTCCCGTCTCAGCCTTATTCCCAGCCTTCCTCTTCCTCTGCTCAAACTGACCTCCCAGTGTGCTCCTTGTTTACACTTGGCCTTTTTTTAAGTGCATATTTCCTCCTAGGGGCCACATCACAGCTGCTCATGTAAGTATCCCAGTTCTTTTGCAAACTTCATTGAGCTAAAAAACAACTCAAAAGCCAAAAGCAGCCCTTTCTAATCGTCACCTTTTGCACTTGAGAGGAAATCACACTGAAAGTAGTAGAATTAGAATATTAACTCTGAGAAAGAGTTGCCTCTAGGAAAGTTAAAAGTGTAATAAATGTACAGTGCTGTCAAGTGAGAGATTTCTCTTTCTATTAAAAGTTGGAATTCAAAATAACACTAAGAGTCCACTGCCAACCATGTCAGTGCACACCTGTAGTCTCAGGACTCAGGGGGCTGAGGTCAAAGAATTGCACTGAGTCTCACCTGGGCTATATAGTAAGACTGTTTTTAAAAAACTAGTAAAGGTAGGGCTGCTTCCATTAGCTAGGTCAATATTTAATAAAGTTAAACTAACTCATAATTCCAATATGCCTTTCAGGGTTGCCTACAGTATTCCAAATACTGACCTAGGTAACAATACAAAAATGGATGAACCTGTGCTGTTAAGAAGTTAAAAGTATACAGAGAAATGTGGGAGATTTCTCATTGCAAATGGAATAAACAATACTTGAGACAAATATCATAAAAAAGTGTGTCTTACGTTTCTGGCTTGAACAACGTGGTAGATGTGGGCGCCACATATTACAGTAAGGAGGACCGGGAGGTGGAGGAAGAATAGGAGTCTCCTTTGGGGTGCATTGAACTTGAGGTGTCCTGGAGACATCTGTAGAAGTCAGGGTCAGACAGGAAATGGATGCACCCCACACTAAGTAACTGAGCAAAGAGGGAAAGGAGACCCACCTAGGGTGACCCCAGGACAAGCCAAAGTAGAGTGGGTTTGCCTTCTAGCAGTCTAAAGGAGTAACTGACACTGGGGAGCACTGACCTCAGTAGAGGAAACCACTTCTCCTACTAGAGGGATGCAATAGAGGGTCTTGTTCCTCAACTTCCCATCTCTTGTTTAGGCCTTCCAACAGGCAGGGTTGGGATTGAGAGGGGGTATCAGGGTGGTACGGTTATATTATAACAGACAGGAAGGAGATGGGCTGAGAATGATCTAGAGAAGAAAATGGAAAAAGATCAGAACCACAGCCAGTGTAGATGGGAGAAGGCGGCATTGGTTAGACAAGCCTGAGAGTTAGGAAGGGGGTCTAAAGCTGGACATCCTGGAATTCCTCAGTTAATGATTGGTAAATAAAGCCATGTCTCCAGATGAAGTCACTCTGAGAAGACAGAGGGCTCAAGCCTGCACATGAAGACAGCTTGAAGGCCCTAGGTAGCATGAGCTTTCAGATGGCGCTGAGAAGGATCAGCCAGTGAGTTTGAAACACTACAAAACTCCATATTCTGCACTGGGACTTCCAGAAAGGATTTGGTCTGTGTGATGGTAGAGTGTGCGCCCTCATTTCTTATCAATTTGATATAAGCTAGGTTCATTAGGTAGGAAGAAACCTCAGTTGAGAAAATGCCTCCATCACGTTGGACTGAGAGCAAGTCTGTGGAGGGCATTTTCTTGATTGATGTATAAAGTCTGCAGTTTGGATGCTCAGAACCCATGTAGAAGCTTCACAGTCCTGGCAGCTCATCTGTAATCCCAACACACGGGAGGAAGAGACAGCTGATGCAGGGTAAACTGGTTACGTACCTAGACTATTCAGAATTGTTGAGTTCCATGAACAGTCAGAGGCTCTGCCTAGGTAAATAAAATGGACAGCCATTGAGGGGGATAGCTACCATTAACTTTGGGCCTCTGCATGCAAGTGTACACAGGTGTGAACACACACACACACACACACACACACACACACACACACACACACACACACACACACACACATTCAAAGACCAGGAAAAAATTACCTTTAATCAGAACTCAAAGAGTACAGTAAAAAAAATATATGGATTCCTTCCTCACAGTTGTAGTGAGCTAATTTAGCCCAGGCTCATGATTTTTCTGGCCATTCTGAGGTAATTATTCTGTGGCTACTTGGTTATTTTCTCTTTTTGTTCTCTGTATGGGACTCCAATCCAGCACAAGGACTAGTGGGAAGATGCAGTTTCCAAGCAGGGTTTCCAAATAGGTAATCAGCATGCAAAACTAGGCCTGGGCTAGGAGGAGCAGTTAGGTCCTTCAGTCTCCAGCACCCCTCTCGCCCACAATACCAGGCATTCAGTGACGGCACCTCCCTCTAAGTGGGTATTGCCACTGATGAAGACATAGCCTATCACTGTGGGTGTTCTGATCTTAAGAGTACTGTGTCTCAAAGGAGGACCAAGGAAAAAGGAAAATGCTTAATACTATGTGTTCTTTATTTTTTAAGGTGTCTCCAGGTTTGCTGAAGATATTGCAGAGCTGCAGAAAAGGTTTGAACAGCTCCACATGGTGTTTTGAAATTCATCCCAACTGTAGGCTGATGGACCTGAAATGGGATAGACTGTCAGAATCCAGAAGCTTCAGCCATTTCCTTGGTGTCAGGATTCTACCTTAATGATCTCCTGATCCAGGCCTGAGACCTCAGGAACACAGTTATCTCTTCCTCCTTTTGCAACTTGGTAGAAATACCTCACACAGGACCTCCCTAAACCCACTTTATCAGATGTGTGACATAGCCTACTATCTTATTTGCGAGCTTCCTGCCAGACATAATGGCAGTTTCCTCACACTAGAGCTTGTTTGTGTGCAAGATGATACCCAGGTGCATACAGTACCTCTCAATGATGACCCAGGATACCCTCATAGTTTGGGTGTAAATGTGGTCCATGTTGGCAGGTCCTGGTACTGTTTTATTTACTGAGCTCTTGTATGCTAGGGATCAGGGGGATAAACCTGAACTCATCTCAGACAACTTAGTTTATGATTATTAAATAGTCACAGTCCTTAAGAGTCCAGTGCACACCCAGAGCTGTGAGCAGGCATGACTGCTAGCCAGAGCATCCTAGGAAGGCTTTCCTGGGGGAGGGGATGCGGCAACTGCTTGAAGTGCTGATGGGAGGTGGTTAGGAGCAGCCAGTGGTGGCAGCTGTCAGGCGTGGAGATCTCATGTGGTGAGAGGAAGTGTGGGCTGAAAGACAAAGAGAAGGCCAGAGGAACAAGCTGCAGGGCTGAAGGCCAGGAAGGGTGCTGTGTCCCGGCAGCCCCAATAAGAAGTTGTGATTTTGCCCTATGGACAATGAGAAGCCACAATAGCGGATTTGAAGGTCCAGGGAACAGATTGAGGGACTAGACAAGGCACTCAGGATGCAGGAGCAATAGACGGATGCAGAAGTCTGTCCTGAGCTGAAGTCTTAAACTAAAGGGGTGGAACTGAGCCTTCTATTCTTACACCCTCTAGAAAGAATGTTTTCTCAGCATATGTTCCCTTTGGGCTAGCATGGGTACAGAATACTCATTTTTGTTTAGGAAATAGGGAGCTGTTGAAAATAGTATTTCACTTTTCTATATAGGCAGGGCTTCATGTTCAAAGCATATTCACATTCAGCTTTTCATTCTGTCCTCAACAAAATTTATCATTTCGACTCATCCCTTATTTAAAAATCCTTGCATTCACAATCTTGATCCTATTGCGATGTGTATTTCCGGGCACATCATCAAAAACCTGCAGCTGCTAAGCCCATTATGAAATCCTAGACTCTCTGAGGTTTGAAGAAACATTGGTTCTCAGTTACTACCATCCCATTTACTTTGCTGAGGCCCAAAGAGCTAGCTGGAGGAAGAGCGGGGGTTCCAGTGAAGTAAAACAAGCACAAATCCAATCGATACTCAGGCTCCCTAGTAATTACTATATTGTTTTCCTGTTTGTTTTTATTTCAGTGCTTGGGATCCAATGCAGGGTCCTGTTTAGTCTAGGAAGTTTTCTTCCACTGTTTATCTCAAACCTCTCAAAGGAGTATTTATTTGTTTATTATTCTGTGTGTGCATGTCATGTGTATGCAGACACTGGTACCACACATGCATGTGGAGGTCAGCGACCAACTTTTTTCTTTACATGGGTTCCAGGGATCAAACTCATGACGCTACACTTGCATGCCAGGTGTTTTTACCCAGTAAGCCATCTTGCCAACCCTCATAAATGAGTTTAGAAGAATTAAATGGCAACCATGTGCCGTATATGTATGCTTGTACACCTGTGTGCACACGTATGGGAAGACACCAGATGAGGTTAACAGGGCATCCTCCTCTATTGCTCTTTAGATATAGTCTCTCACTCAACCTGAAGCTCAGTGATTTCTCCGATAGGCTATTCCACCCCTGCCCCTACACTGAGGTTAAAGTTGCATGTGGCTACACCTGGGTTTTGATATAGGTGTTCACTCTCAGGTCCTCAAACTACAGCAAGTGCTCTCACCCACAGAGCTGAATGGCAACGTTAAGACTTTAATGTAGCTCAGTGTGTCCTGATTGTGCTAACATGACAACCCAGTTGTCACGTCTGACAAGCATATTATCTCAATCATCAAGT